TTCAAACCCAACAGCCACTCCTCGGAAGGAAGATGGGGCAATCTACTTCTGTAGTGATACTGCCTCGGAAACCCAAGGAGGGGTCGCTATGAGTCGGATCTGACTCAACGGCACATAACAACAACAACAACAATGTATATGTAAAAACACACATATGGGATCGCTCATATTATACTTTGTATTTTGCCACTGACTAATGTATCTTGGAGATCTTTCTAAGTCAGTACATAAGAACCAAACAACACCAAACTCATTGCCATTGAGGCAGATCTGACTCATAGCGTTCCCTCCTTGGGTTTCCAAGGTGGTACCACTAAGGAGGTAAATTGCCCAATCTTCCTCCAAAGGAGTGGCTGGTGGGTTTGAACCACCAGCTTTTTGGTAAGTAGTCAAAATGCCGTACACACTACGCATGAGACTTCCTCATTTTCCTCTGAATGGCAGCACAGCATTCCATCATAATTATATAAGTTAATCAATGATCTATTGATAAAATTTAGTTTGTCTAGAGTTTAAACATAGCAACAATATAATAAGGTTTTTGTAAATACATCTTTGTCTATTAAATACATGTGTCAGATTAGTAAGAGTAGAATTGTTGAGTCAAAGGGAAAACTTACTAAGCAGATAAATAAAAACCAAACCAGTTACCTCTGAATCAACTTCAACTCACAGAGACTCCATGTGTCTCAGAGTAGAACTATCCCTAGTGTTTACAATGGCTGAGATCTTTCAGAAGTAGATTACTAGGACCTTCTTCAGAGGAGCATCTGGGTGGATTCAAACCTTTGGGTTAGTAGCTGAGTGCTTAACAGTTAACCAGATATTGTAAAATTTCCCTCTAGAAAGTTGCTTTTGTGTGTGTTTGCTTCCACAGATATTATCTGAGAAGGTCTATTCAATATATTAATATAATACAGAGAAAAACTCCCTTTAATGTAGTAAGGGGAAAATACATGTCAAGATAGAAACATGGGGAATTCCTTTTACTTCAGCTATTCTCTGAGCAGAATAAATTGTGTGTGTGAGTAAGAGGAATTATTCTCAAAGGGTAGCTGACAGTTGAAGAGTTTCCTGATGGCCCTTTAACTGACAGTAAGATCCAAATATACAGATACGCACACATATAAACATACATCTATTTACATATATATATGTGAGTCTGCGAGAGCTCTGGTAGCATAGTGCCTAAGGCACTTGACTGCTAACCAGAAGGCTGGCGGTTCAAACCCACCAGCCACTCCTCAGAAGGAAGATGGGGCAATCTACTTCCGTAGTGATACTGCCTCGGAAACCCAAGGAGGGGTCGCTATGAGTCAGGTCTGACTCGACGGCACATAACAACAACAACAACAACTTGTGAGTCTGCATGTGTATATATACGTGTGTGTGTGTGTGCGCGTGTGTGTATGTCTTTTTTTGAGTGAGGAATCTTACTGGTAAAAGATACTTAATACTTTTAACTTTCAAGGGCTTCTTATTAGTAACCTATTAAATGACTTACTAAAATCATTTAAAATTGGTACCTAAATACCATAAACTAAAATTAGAACATAGCTATGTTTACTGTACTCCATTAGCCCTGGCTACTACATAGTATTTGGCTCACTGTAAAACTCTTATTATGCATGGAGAGTTGAAATTCCTGCTATTTTGTAAGGGTAGGCATTAGTGCTTCCTCAGTGTCTGAAGATGTTGCCATGGCTGGCCATAGTTTTATGTTGCTGTTATTCTTGACTTTCATTGACTAACACTGTAGTTTACTTTTGACATTATCAATTAGTTTTAGCTTGCTAACCCCACAATGTATATTTAACATATTTCCATTCCAGTGTACGATGGGCTTGAAAAATTCCCAATATTAGGACTTAAGACATATGTGCATTATGAATATTTTCTTGTATGCTTCATACTTTCCACTGACTTATTTTTCTTAAGCTGCAGAATGTTTTATTCTGCCTAAGCCCAAAGTGGTTTTGAAAAATACCTGTCCCTTTTTAAGACTATCAAAACTATTTCCTGTACCCCAGATTAAGCTGCCATTGTGATATGGAAGCTTATAAATTAACTATCCAAAACACAAAGACTGCATATATTTTATTGCTATCTTGTGAATTTACCCAAAGCATATTTTGAATATATAGCATAAGACCAGAAAAGTTCATAAAAAGCGTAAGTTTTATAGGCTAACATAGAAAGACTAATGATTATTTTCCAAGGCTTCACACTATCTCTTGCTTCACAAACACTTAGCTGAGAGAA